ATACACATATATATGTATACATATGTGTGTATACGTATATATATGTACATATGTATATATAAATACGTGAGCGGTTACATATTATTACGTTACTTCCCATCTCGACGCTAATCTGCACAAATCCTCGAATCGAACATCCAGTACAGGACATAAACGATATATTCTGCGCTAAAGAAGTCTCTCAGTAAAGCACACTCACTTGTACAAACACATACCGCCCATGCATAAACCTATACAAATATACCCATTTCTAATACACTCGCACACATTTAGAAACACACACATGAAAACGAACACACACACACACACACATCGCCCATGCACACACCTACATAAATACACATAATTATATAACACATGTATGCACAAGCTACTCACACACGGCAAATATGAACACGAACATACAAACAAACACAAATACACACATGCATACACACAGGCACACGAACAACGACACACACACACACACACACACACACACACACACAAACATACACGGACGATCTCATTTCACGCCCTTTTCGTACATTTTAAAATAATAAGCTGGAAAAAAACATACAACAGTAGAGGGTGCGCAGAAGGCGTCACACACTAACAAGCGCACATTGTTGCCAGATCGACGCAGAGCACGAGCTGCTTCTTCCTGTGAGCATCCCAGCAGAGACTCATCATTAACCTCCAGAATACGAGTCCCCACTGTTAAGGAGGTCGTCGCTGCCGGCCCAGTTCGCTCAACCTCAAAAATATGGATATACGCTGACTGCAAACATTCGGGACAGAACTGCTTTATTCTCTGTATCGATATAGTTTTTTTTATTATCTTTCGCCTAATATTTTTAGGCTTTGGCTTTTTATATCAGCACTTGTCTGAACTGCTGATGACTGCGGACATCTCTATCCCTTTCAACTAAATCCTTCATCAGTCAGCTCAAAATCCAATATAATTCAAGGATTGTCGCTATACTGTTATTCACATTTATGAAGTAATCCCTCTCTGACTCTCCTCCTACACAGCTGGCGACTTTTGCTGTTTCTCTGAGCCTGCTACTGATTCTGATTTTGTTTGCCTAATGAAGGACTAACGCTTCTATCAGAAGAAACATCTGTAAAGTTTTTACTGGCTTTGAGTTGCCACTCATACTCACTGAGCGTCACTTCCGTGACCCAAACGT